TATGGGTGGGCAGTGTCAGGAGAAGGATCCCAGGCCTTCCAGAAGCCATTGGCCACTGGGCATGTGGTGGGCAGTGCTGGGTCGTGGTGGAGACAGCAACTGACTGGGCTCTGTGCTGTCCCAGGTCCCAGAGTGGGCAGCCTGGTACCAGTATGACAGACGGCAGTCACCATGACAGTCAGGTGTATGTGGCTGGAGCCTTAGCCACTTGAGCCACAGGCGCAGAGCCAGAGTAGTAGAAGTCTACTCTGTGGTGCTGTGACCCTCAGTGTAAACGGTGGTGCCTCAGCCACTTTGCCCCATCATCTGGGGCTTGCACATTAGCAGATAGCACTTCTGGGGTAGAAAGGCAAGGGTAGCGAGGCAAAGTGGCTGTCCTGCCTCTCTGGTGGGTAGTAAAGAGGATATTGTCCTTTCTGCGGCAGGTCAACTTTGCTCAGGACTGGACAGAAGTGGAGGCCCAGTGGGCGGTACTTAAGTGAGCCCTGGCCTGCAATGGGAACAGTGGGAGCCGCATGCTGAGCCTTACCCCTGGCATCCTCGACGTCACACACACTTGCTCACACTCAGATGCCTGCACATTTGCAGTGTGCACAAACCACTCCATCATTTAACCTGACCTAGCAAGAGCTACTTTAACAGCGTTTGTTTAGGTGCATGGGCTGCCCATTTCCAGGATGGACGCAGCTTCATACTCACCTAGGTCACAGTTTTTATGGTGTTAAAAATTAAAACTAGGAAAAATTTAGAGCACCTATTTAAAACTAATAACAAATTCATACATGTTCACATAAATACTTTTAAATAAAAGTAACTTTTCTTTTTTATTTTTTTGAGACAGAGCCTCAAGCTATCCCCCTGGGTAGAGTGCTGTGGCATTACAGCTCACAGCAACCTCCAACTCCTGGGCTCAAGCGAGTTTCCTGCCTCCGCCTCCCAAGTAGTTGGGACTACAGGCACCCACCACAACGCCCGGCTATTTTTTGGTTGCAGCTGTCATTGTTGTTTGGTGGGCCTGGGCTGGATTCAAACCCGCCAGCTCAGGTGTATGTGACTGGTGCCTTAGCCGCTTGAATCACAGGCACAGAGTCAAAGTAACTTTTCTTAAACAAAACAAACTTAGCACAAAGATTGCATTTTTTTCTGTTTTTTTCCTGTCTGAGGCCCCCTCAGACAGGAAAGCATAGGGCTGGGGCTGATAGGCCAAGGGCCTCCAGACCTTGGTGTCTCTTGCAGATAGGGTGACAAGTCCGACGGCACGGACATCATCCTCAGCTGTCTCCTGCTCAGTGACCCAGAAGGACAGGACAAAGCACCACAGGGCCTCTTTGGTGTGGTGGGCTCCTGGCCCTGCCCCGCCCCACTCCACCCCTATGCTCTCTGTCCCCTGGAGCTGATTGCCTGAGGCCCTGCCCCCACCTGCTCTCACTTTGGAACATCTTGAAGCCCCAGGAGCCCTAGTCTGCTGCAGCCCAGTGAGGGGTGGTGGTTGGTTGCCTTAGAAAGGGCTTAGGGAACGCCTTCTGGCCATCCCACACAGGAGGGTCTCTGTCCAGAGTTACAGTTGACTAGCCCAAGATGTATGGGGCTTCTGCTGATCTGTTTAAAGTTTTGAGCCCACATGAGAAGGCCCAGGGGCTCTGCTGTCTGATCACAGGGATCAGGGCAACCCCTGAGGGCAACTGCCTTGGCAGCTATGTGCCAAGGCTGCTTTCCCTGCCCTTCCTGGACACTGGGGACAGCTCTGTGCGAGTGTCATTCTCTGTCAGGCTCTGCTGGCTGCAGGGTCTCCCTATTGGAGTTGGGCGCCTGCTCAGGAAGCCTGCACACCCTCTGACACTGGACAGGATGCCCTGGTGGCCAAAAACACAGCTCCTGCAGCACACCGGCAGCACATTTGAGAGTCATCTTCACAGGCACTCGCTTCTCAGGGAGCCAGAGGCTGCCCCCTTGTGGCATGTGGTGGCCAGTGCCTGCGTTGTCTAGGGCCTGCCTGGGTTGCTGGGGGTGCCTTTGGCTTCTGGCATATTCTGATGGTTCTGACAGCATGCCTCATGTAGGCGCCCATGGCCTTCCACCTGTACACAGGGAGAGCTTGAGGAGGTAACTTTGTTCCCCTGACTTCCTGCCCCCTGGGCTGCGTGTGGCTCCCTGGTGGGTCTGTAGTCCACCTAGCCACTGCCTGTGCTGGGTTCTCTTTGGGCAGGTGTGGCTGGCCTGGCCCTCCATGGCCTGCAGTGTGGCCCCAGCTCCCAGCCCCTCTTTCTCAGGTAGAGACACTGACCCACCAGGCCAGGGCAATTGCTGTGCATGCCTTGTGGGACTCAGAACTGTTTAAGTTGCCGGCCAGAACCCTGAGATTGTTAAATGCAGATACTGCAGGTGAGAGTGGCACAGGGCCCTGGCTCCAAACCATGTCTTGCCAGCTGATTACTGAACCACAGTACAGAGGGAGACACAGCCTATGTCTCTACAGGAGCAGGATGATTTTATTTTATTTTATTTTATTTTATTTTTAGAGACAGAGTCTTACTTTGTCGCCCTCGGTAGAGTGCTATGGCGTCACAGCTCACAGCAACCTCTATCTCTTGGGCTTAGGCAATTCTCTTGCCTCAGCCTCCCAAGTAGCGTGGACTACAGGTGCCTGCCACAACACCTAGCTAAGGAGCAGGATGATTTTAAAGAAGGTGACAGAGTGCCAGTCTGACAACAGCGAGACTCCATGTCTACAAGAAATAGAAAAACTAGCCAGGCATTGTGATGGCACCTATAGTCCCAGCTACTCGGGAGGCTGGGGCATGAGGATCACTTGAGCCCCAGAGTTGGAGGCTACTGTGAGCTATGACACAACTGCAGTCTGGCCAGGGTGACAGAGTGAGACTTTGCCTCAAAAAAAAGGCAGGGGGAGGGGGGAAGTAGCAGATCAAAACATGGTTTCAGCAGGGTGGGCTTGAGGTTTGATGAGGGCAGGCCCTGGGTGGCAGGCTGAGTGGTGCTGTGCTATGTAGCTGTTTGTTCTGGTAACTGCCTCTCCTGTGAGAGACATGGTGTTGCAGGGATGGAGGAGGGCTGGGCAGAGGGAGAGAGAGGACAGTCTCAGCTGGCTTTGAAGGTGCAGGGCTGGATGTGGATCAGCCACATACATCATACAAATCCTTTCATTCTAGGGCAGGTGTGGTCCCTGGCATTTCCCAGGCCTCACCCCAGGTCACTCCACCCGGCCCAGATGGAGGTTCTGTCTCTTTTGGAGGCTTACAGAGGGGTTGCCATCCTCCCTCCAGACTCAGGGCATAGGGGCCACTCTTCCTGCTGGTTTCTGGCCCTCATTCGGCCTATGGGGCCATGGGGTGTTGCTGAATCGGAGGGGCCCTCATTGGGCAGCTTCCAGAGGCCCCTATGTGGCTTTGTCTGGCCAGCAGCTTCTGGTGGGCAGTGTGGGTAAAGTAGTGGGGCCCCGGCCAGCCCCTGGGTGATGTTCTGCAGGCTTCCCACCCTGGTATAGGTGTTGGTCTGGTTGGGTGGACTGATGCCCTTTCCAGGGTTGGGGGTGGCTGCTTTGGGGAGCATTCAGAAGTCTCTGCCCTGCAAGTTGCACCAGCAGTGGCTGTACAACCCCATCCCAGGTCCACACCTAGCCCCGGCCCGTTCAGAGGACCCTGCACTCCAATCCTGCCCCCACATGGCAGTCCTGGCCCTCTAGCATAGGAAGTCTGGTAGGGATGATCTCAGTCAGCCCCTGGCCCCTGCCTTCAAAATCTCCTTTTCAGTTTCTGCCTGTTCATGGATTTCATATAAGTGAAACAGTAAAGAATACAGTATTTTGTTCATGGTGTCTTTGACTTGACAATATTTTAGAGCTCCATGTTTTTGTATCGTTGATACATTCTTTTTATTGCCAAGTGAAATTCCACTGGGTGTGATTCACTTATCCATTCTCCTGTTGGTAGATGTTGGGGTTGTTTCCAGTTGGGAGTTGTGAAGAATAAAGCTGCTAAAATAATTTTTTTTTTTTTTTTTTTGAGACAGAGCCTCAAGCTGTCCCCCTGGGTAGAGTGCCGTGGCATTACAGCTCACAGCAACCTCCAACTCCTGGGCTCAAGCGAGTCTCCTGCCTCCGCCTCCCAAGAAGGTGGGACCACAGGCGCCCGCCACAACGCCCGGCTATTTTTTGGTTGCAGCCGTCATTGTTGTTTGGCAGGTCCGGGCTGGGGATTCGAACCCGCCACCTTAGGTGTACGTGGCTGGCACCTTAGCCGGTTGAGCTATAGGTGCCGAGCCAATCATTTTTGTACAAATGTTTCTATGGATAGATTTTTCATTTCTATTAAGTGCCCAAGAGTGGAACTGCAGGGTGGTAGGGTAGAAGTTTTTCAGAAATTGTCAGGCAGTTGTCCAGAGTGTCGGGCAGCTTGGTCCATGAGTCCAGCTGCTCCACATTGCCAGCACTTGGTGTCGTTGGTTTCTTTGGATGTTACCTTTCCCTTCACCAAGAGATAGCATCTCGTTATGATTTAAATTTGCATTTCCCTCATGACTAAAGATGTAGAGTACCTTTGATGTATTTATTGGTTTATTTCGAACCTATATTATACTTGATATAATATTAGTCATTTTTAAAGCTGACTTTAACTTTATAAAATAAAATTAACTTAATTGCTAGTTGTGATAATTATACTATGGTCATGTTTTTAGGGGTCACAGGATTATGAATTCAAATACTAATGGGTAAAATGCTACAATTAGAATTGGCTTCAAAATTCTTTAGGTGTGTGTGAAATAAAATTATTGAAGTTTCACGAGAAGAGTGGGGTTTGCTGTGGTTGTCTATCTGCTTTGCGTATGTGTCTGTATCAGATTTTCTTTCTTTTTGGTAGAATTCTTTTTTTTTATTATTAAGTCATTTGTACATAGATCATAAATACATTTATGCCATTATAGGATTCAATGTGTTGATTATTTGTACAAATTGGAATGCTTACATTCTACTAAGCAACATAGCCTAAAATATGGAATGCGTCACGAATTTGCATGTCATCCTTGCGCAGGGGCCATGCTAATCTTCTCTGTGTTGTTCCAATATTAATATATATGCGGCCGAAGCGAGCACATGTATCAGATTTTCTTTTCTTTTTTTTTAAATTTCTTATAGGATAACTGTGTACATTAATGCAATTACGTGGTACAGTGTGCTGTTTTCATATACATTTTGAAATACTCTCATCAAACTGGTTAACATAACCTTCATGTCATTTTCTTAGTTATTGAGTTAAGACATTCATACTCTGCTTTTAGAAAGATTCACTTGTACCCTTGTAAGATAAACCATGGAGGTGACCCCACCAATGTATTAGATTTTCGATATGTACTTTAAAAATTAGTCCCGATGGGGCAGTGCCTATGGCTCAAGGAGTAGGGTGCCGGCCCCATATACCGGGGGTGGCGGGTTCAAGCCCAGACCTGGCCAAAACTGAGAAAAAAAAAATTAGTCCCTAGATGGGCGTGGTGGCTCACGCCTATAATCCTAGCATTTGGGGAGGCTGAGGCAAGTGGATCATCTGAGCTTAGGAGTTGAGACCAGGCAGAGCAAAATCGAGACCCTGTCTCTAAAAACTAGCTGGTTGTTGTGGTGGGTGCCTGTAGTCCCAGCTACTTGCGAGACTGAGGCAAGAGGATCATTGAGCCCAGGAGTTTGAGGTTGCTGTAAGTTATGAGGCCACAGCACTCTACCCAGGGCAACAGAGTGAGACTCTGTTGCAAAAAAAAAAAAAAAAATTAGTCATAATTAGCAGTTCAATGCCAGATTAGTTGTATATAACCAGACTTCTTTTTAGCTTATGTTCTGAACTCCTCAAACTATTTTTTTTTTCATATTCCAAAATTTAGATGGTTTTACTTGCACCCTCCATAGGTTTTCAACCCTTGCACCCTGGGGGTCAGTGAAGGTCTCTGGGTTTGCTTGCCAGTGGGCTGTCTGACTTGGCGGAAGGGACTGAGGGAGCTGTCCTCGCTGCTGTTCCACCTGTAGCAGGCTGACCTCAAGCTGTTGGGCAGCAGAAGTCAGGAAGCAGAATGGAGAGGGAGGTGTGAGGCCAGAGTGGTGGGACGGAAATTGTGCTTGCTTCCAAGAGCAAAATCAAAATGAATGTCAGCATTTTCACTTTGCTCTCCTGGTAATTTAGATTTTGCTGAAGCTGGCAGCAGCTCCTTTCTCTAGTCATCCTGTCCTGCATGCAAGCGTGGAAGCGGTTAGACTGCCTGTACGATATCACATCTTCTGTCATCTCATAGACCTTAGCAGTTAAGAAACATTCAGAACAGCTTTTTTTTTGGAGACAGAGTCTCACTATGTTGCCCTTGGTAGAGGGCTGTGGTGTCACAGCTCACAGCAGCCTCAAACTCTTGGGGTAAGTGATTCTCGTGCCTCAGCCTCCCTTGTAGCTGGGACTACAGGTGCCTGCCACACCCCTGGCTATTTTTAAAATTTGTTTTGTTTTTAGCAGTCTCAGTCTGGGTTCAAACCTACCAGCCCCTGTGCATGTGGCTAGCACCCTAACCACTGAGCTATGGGTGCCAAGCCAGATCAGCTTATTTTTTATACAAAGCATTTAAAAGTGAATTATAATAATTTTAATCTGCCAGTTAAAGATTAATTTTTTAGGTTAATCTCACACCTGTAATACCAGCATTCTGGGAGGCCGAGTCAGGAGATCCCTTGAGCTCAGGAGTTAGAGACCAGCCTGAGCAAGAGTGAGACCCTGTCTCTACTAAAAATATAAAAACTAACCGGGCATGGTGGTGGGTGTCTGTGGTTCCAGCTACTCGGGAGGTTGAAGCAAGAGGATCTCTTGAGCCTAGGAGTTTGAGGTTGCTGTGAGCTATGATAATGCCATAGCACTCTACCCAGAATAGAGGGAAACTCTTAGAAAGAAAAAAGAAGTAATTTTTTGAAAAGTAAATTAGAGGCACCCTCTCTCTTACTCTACTCCACTGTGGTGAGTGTAATTAGTCCTGTTTATCACCAAGTCCTCTCACAAGACTTTCAGAATCAAGCAGTTTTGGGCCAAGAAACAAAAACAAAATTGTCCCTTTCCCCAGTGGATTCGAATGAAAACCGGTAATAAAATCAGGGACAACTTGAAGAGGAGAAGAACCATGCTGGTCTGTAAGGAATTGCTCATGAGATGGCACATACTTATGCTGTATTATGGTCACTATCATCAGACCAAGCTGAAAATGTCATCCTTTGGACAGTTGGCCACACTTCAGTGGGAAAATGAATTTTCTCTTTGTTTACGTGCTGTTCACCAATTAGCTTGTGCTGTAATAAATGTGTGAGACCTTGGAAAAAAAAACTAAATTAGAGGGGCGGTGCCTGTGGCTCAAAGGAGTGGGCACTGGCCCCATATACCAGAGGTGGCAGGTTCAAACCTGGCTCTGGTCAAAAACTGCAAAAAAAAAAAAAAGTAAATTAGAGATATTTTGACCTTCTAACCTTAAACACTTCAGTATATAACTCTAAGTTAAAGTTAATAAAATCAAAAATAACATTATTTTATCTAAAAATGTAATAATTCCTAGGTATCACCCACTATCCAGCCCCTGCCCCCAGCAATGGAGTTGTCTACTTGGGGGCAGAGGCCTTAGATCCGCAGAAGCTCTGTCCTTGTCCTATCTTCAGGGTCGTGGTGATCCCCCCGCCACCAGAAGTGACAGTGAGAGGCTGGAGTGTCTCTCTGGCCTCCACGACCCCTCGGAGTTGGCTCCACCAGCGGTCAGCCAGAAGTGCCTGTGTGGGCTGCATGGGCAGCACGAAGGAGGCCTCTCCCGGTCACCAACAGCCATGCGGTTTCATGAGTTCTATCCTCCTAGAATCTCTGTGAGGTTTTCAGTTCCCAGCGTTGCTTAATTTAAAATATGTGGTTTCTTTGAGCACAGAATGTGACTCAGTTGACTCATCTCTTGAGTGAGAACATCCTGGGCGACCTCCAACAGGGACCTGTGAGTAGGGCATCATCCCTGTGGCCTAGTGGGAGCCCCACCCACTCCGGACCATGCCCCCACCCCACTCGGAGCCACGCCCACACCAGACCTAGCCCTCCCCACCTCAGAGCCCCGCCCACTCTTGCTACCAGGCTGCCCCACTCACAGGAAAGGCCCAGGGGCACCCATCAGACAGCTGCTCAGAGCAGGGGGAATTAAAGGGGGTGCTTAGATTTTGGCAGCGCCAGAAGAATTTTGCAAAAATATATTTCAACGTGGGCAGCATTGGAGGGACGCTCTATTATATGGGAAAAGAAGAAAAGTGAAAAGTGGCATATCCCTGACTTTTGTTGTCAGCTGATTAGAAAAAAGGAAAAGGGAAGGTGAAACCTCTGGGAAAAGATCTCAATCAGCAACTAGTGGAGAAGGGAATGCTGTGTCCTGTGTCAAGCCTGGAAAGATGCTGAAACAATTCTAGAGTGTTAAAAAGTAAAAATTTTTTCTGTCTGAGCTTAATTGTTCTGTTTTAGTTCCAACTATGTGCTTTTTTCAGGAGCTACCTTTAGATTTAGGTTTTCAGGCTGTCCTCTCTTACTGGATCTCAAAGGTTTGAGATCTCCGATGTCTGACTCTGCTTCTCTGGTTGATAACGTTGGACCCCAAGACCCCCTTGCTGTTCTGTGAACACTACTCCCTCCTGCCTCCTGCCTCTGTCCTGACCTCCTATCTGCATCCAGCACTCTCAATTTCCATTTGCTATTTAATGTTTCTCCTCCATGCTTGCCACCTTTGACACATCTCATATTCTCTCTAGTTAGCTCATTGGCTATCCATCTCCTGCACTGACATTTGAGCTCCATGAGGACAGCAGTCTGGGTCTGTTTTTTCACAGCTGTGACCCTGTATATAATACTGAATGTTGTTGAAGGAATGAATGGATGTGAGACGGGCAGATTGCCTGAGCTTAGGAGTTCAAGACCAGCCTAAGCAAAAGTGAGACTTGTCTCTAAAAGGTGTTGTCACAGGCACCTGTAATCCCAGCTACTTGGAAGATTGAGGCACGAGAATCACTTGAGCCCAAGAGTCTTAGGTTGCTGTAAGCTATGATGCCACATCACTCTAAAGAAGGTGACAAAAGGAGATTCTGTCTCAAAAAAGAAAAAGAAAAGAATAAATGGATGGACCAGCCCACCACAGGGAGGCAGCAAAGTGTACAGGGTATGAGGCCTAATCTAGTATCTCATTATAATTTGATTACATCTATAAAACCCTGTTTCCAAATAAGACCACATTATTAGATTCTAGGTGGACATGTTCAACATATGAGATAATTATTTTCTTTTGACTTTCGACCTACCTAGACCAAGTGACTTTCT